TGCACTGAGTTGCCGCCATGTGATTGGCTGATTAGAAATTAAGTGTTAACGAGCAGTTGGACAGGTGTACCTAATAAAGTGGCCGGTGAGTGTATCCAGTCAGTCTGCCTGGTGGCATTAATCATGTTAATCACCAAGTGCCAAATAATAATCGATTAATGTTTTTCTGACGATTAATTGCACACGATACAATTATGCCCAACCCTAGTTGGCGCTAAAGCAAACAGGCTAAGCTGGGGRTCTTCCTTCATGAAGCAGCTCTGTTGTCCTCCATCCAAACTAAAACTAAACAGGCTACAGTATTTTTACAGTCTTTATTTTACAGTTAAAATATATGTTTATCAAATAAAGTTTAATGTTACAACTAATCATGGATCCCTGTGATCAATATCAACAAAAAATATGTTTAGTAGAATGTTGATCATTTCACTGAACCCCGATCTAAAACCACACCTGGGAGATGTAGGCAGAGGAAAGACTTGAGTTACTCAATGTTTATGCTATAAATAAATTTTCATTAAATGGTTCAAGTTTCCAACAAATTGAAGAATTTGTTTGCTATCCCCGATGGAATAAAAATACTCACATGTGGTTCCTGCCACAGCCTTGTCTCGGCCTTCAAGCAGAGCCCACAAGTGTAGCGAGGCGTCTTCGTACTGTTCAGTCAACCTACAAGAATTTCAAACCAGAGTAAATGAAAAATCAAACTGAACGATGACAGCCCCCCATTTCTAAAAAACAGACACATGAACATCATACCTGAGATCGTAGTTCCTATCAGGTCCCACCAATTTGTAAAACTCATCAAATGATGCGAGGTCACCGTCAGTGAGAAGAGGTGAACCTGAGACATCGAGTCGTTTCAGGTCCTGCCTGACACCATCGTCTCCTAACTGGTCCAGTAAATACTGCAGCTCCAAAACGGTCCTCAGTCGCCGCTGCTCCGTCTCCTCCCGTTGCAGCTGCTCTCTTCGCGCAGACTTCTTCACTGCTTTCTGAACCTAAAACACACAAGCGCAGTCTGATTCACCAAGTAKGTTTCAAACCTTATCTGGACGTCACAATTCAGGATTAAACCAATCCAGTGTTTCACGATGAAAAACTTCTCCCAAAGGTGGCACAAAACAGAAATGTTTTCAAAACTGACAAGGTTTGCTCACAAAGCTAAAAAAAAAAAAAAAAATTCTTACCTCTTGACCCAACGCCAAGAAGCTCTTCTGCAACTCTCGAGCAAAATCAAGGTTGTTGTTGATTTCTTGATATTTTGACAAGGCCTCCTTCAGACACAACAAAAAAAAAATAGATTTGTTGTGCATTAAAAGCAGAAAAACGTTCATTTAAAAAAAAGGGGGGGGGGGGGGCGTAAGGTGAAAAATGAACAGTTTTTAAGACAGAAATTTTTATTTTAAAACAAGGAACAAAAAATAATTTTCTTATCTTACCAACTGATCTTGATTTAGCCTTTCCCCTTTAGTCTTTCTTGCTTGAATATCATCCAGTTTGGACTGTAAAATCATCACAAGACATTACAGATTTAATTTATGATGGGGAATACAATGATGACAAAAATATAAAAAGAAATAAAATATTGTAATATATTCTATATAATAGAAATTATAATGAAAGGCAAAATTTAAATTTCAAAGCAGAAGATGCAGAATTTCGCTTCACAAATTTTAACTTACAGCTAAACACAGTTTACATATCTCCCCTCCTACACACACACACACACACACACACACACACACACACACACACACACACACACACACACACACACACACAGAATTCAACATATTTAGATACCATCATCTGAATTCAGATCAGTGACTGTGAATAACAAATTATTTGATGACAAAGAATATGAATCGGATTAAATACACACAATGAAGAGAGGCCATAACACATTCATTTTTTATATGTGTACCTTCTTCTTTTCCATGTTTCGAACCTTCTTGTCAATAACACCAAGAAACTGCTTCATGGTCTCTGAGTGACTTCCATTTCCCAGGTCTGGTACGACAGACGGGACAGCACTGTTGCCAACAGCTGCTGAAGGCATCCTATGTGGACAAAATATTAAGAAGATACAAACATGTGAAAAACTTTAATAATAAAATGACAATAATTAATAATACTGTTGTGCAGACATTATTTGCTTTGAATATTCACACCGTCATGGCGGCAACCCTCGAACCCAATGGTGGACATCAGCGGTGAGGGATGCTGTCAGGCTGAAGAAGGTCTCCTATCGGGTCTTTTTGGCCTGTGGGACCCCAAAAGCAGCAGACAGGTATCGGCAGTCCAAGCGGATTGCGGCTCGGGTGGTCACTGAGGCAAAAACTCGGGCGTGGGAGGAGTTCGGAGAGGTCATGGAAAAAGACTTCRGTACGGCTTCGAGGCGATTRTGGTCCACCATCTGGCATCTCAGAGGGGGAGCAGTTCACCGCCAACTCTATTTATGATGGGGATGGTGCGCTGCTGACCTCAACTCTGGACGTTGTGGGTCGGTGGGCGGAATCCTACAAAGACCTCAATCTTACCGACACGTCTTCCCATGAGGAAGCAGAGCCTGAGGACCCTGAGGACTCTCCAATCTCCGGTGCCAAGGTCACTGAAGTGGTTAAACAGCTCCTCGTGGCAAGGCACTGGGGGTGGATGAGATTCCCCGAGTTCCTTAAYGCTCTAGATGTTGTGGGGTTGCGTTGGTTGACGCGACTCTACAATATCGCGTGGACATCAGGGGCAGTTCCTCTGGATTGGCAGACAGGGGTGGTGTCTATTTAAAAAGGGGGACCACAGAGTGTGTTCCAATTATAGGGGGATCACACTTCCGAGCCTCCCTGGTAAGGTCTATTCAGGTTCTGGAGAGGAGGGTCCGTCGGATAGTCGAATCTCGGATTCAGGAAGAGCAGTGTGGATTTTGTCCTGGTCGTTGAACACTGGACCAGTTCTACACCCTCAGCAGGATCCTGGAGGGTGCATGGGAGTTCGCCCAACCAGTCTACATGTGTTTGTGGACTTGGAGAAGGTGTTCAACCGTGTGCTTCAGGGACTCCTGTGGGGGATACTCCGGGAGTATGGGGTAKCAGGCCCATTGATACGGGCTGTTAGATCCCTGTACGACTGGTGCCAGAGCTTGGTCCACATTGCCGGTAGTAAGTCGGACTCGCTTCCAGAGAGAGTTGGACTCCGCCAAGGTTGCCCTTTGTCACCGATTCTGTTCATAACTRTTATGGACAGAATTTCTAGGTGCAGCCAAGGTGTTGACGGGATCCTTTTTGGTGACCTTAGGATTGCATCTATGCTTTTTGCGGATGATGTGGTCCTATTGGCTTAATCAGATCAAGATCTTCAGCTCTCACTGGAGCAGTTCGCAGCCGAGTGTGAAGCGGCGGGGATGCGGATCAGTGCCTCCAAATCTGAGACCATGGTCTTGAGCCAGAAAACGGTAGCGTGCAGCCTCTGGGTCGGGGAGGAGGTCCTGCCCCAAGTGGAGGAGTTTAAGTATCTCGGGGTCTTGTTCATGAATGAGGGAATAATGGAGCGGGAGATTGACAGGCGGATTGGTGCTGCGTCTGCAGTGATGCGAGCGCTATACCGGTTGGTCTACATTCCTACCCTCATCTATGGTCATGAGCTTTGGGTCATGACCGAAAGAACGAGGTCCCGGATACAAGCGGCAGAAATGAGTTTCCTCCGCAGGGTGGCTGGGCTCTCCCTTAGAGATAGGGTGAGAAGTTCGATCATCCGGGAGGAACTCAGAGTAGAGCCGCTGCTCCTCCACATCGAGAGGAGCCAGTTGAGGTGGCTCGGGCATCTGGTTAGGATGCCTCCCTGGTAAGGTGTTCCGGGCACGTCCCACTGGGAGGAGGCCTAGAGGAAGACCCAGGAKACACTGGAGGGACTATGTTTCTCGGCTGGCCTGGGAATGCCTTGGGATTCCCCCAGATGAGCTGGCCCAAGTGGCCGGGGAGAGGGAAGTCTGGGTCTCTCTGCTTAGGCTGCTGCCCCCAAGACCCGACCCCAGATAAGCGGCAGAAAACGGACAGACGGATGGATTCACACCGTGGAGTGTATAATTGTTTTACGAATTGGATTAGAGGTGTCATTATTTTTTTTAAAGGAATACTGGCATAATGGAATAGATATCTTCAACATTGTCCATTGTGTAAAACATTTTAACCAAAACAGTAAATGCTTCTCAAAACCCAGAGATTATGGTGATCATGTTTAAAAGGCATACAAACAAGTGGACTTTTATTTTGTAGTTGTAGATGTTTATAGTAAACAGTCTTTTTAATTTGGCTGACCTCCACCTCCTCTTAAGGGTGACTTAGAAAGAAATATGCTATATGGAAGCTTCCAATTATTTATTTTATCAAAAATTATTTAATCTGATTACTGTGCCTAGTAGAAGTTAAACTGAAGCATAAATGTCACGGAGATGACAAAAGTTTTGTTTCATCATTTAAACATGAAGACAATTCCCTTTAGCTTTAAACCAATCACAAGAACCACATGTCATTTATATTTAAAACTACTCCACAAATATTTAGGTTGAATTAAATCATCACGGTTCGACGCTGAATTTAAAGAAACCGAGAACAAAATAAAATGTCGGCCTCCTGCTTAAAGTTAAAAAGCTTTTACTTAACTCAGGCGAAAACACTAGCTTAACCTCCCAGATAGCTTTTATGGATTCTCAGCGAGTGTTTAGACGTGTACATTGTAAATTTCGTTTATATAAATTAACTAAGTAGGCAAGACTTTCTTTAGAGAGCGGTAATGTTACACCAAATCAGTTTAACGTAGCGCAGTCCTGACCTCCATGTCCCATTGTTAGCGGATAGATAGCATGTTGTTTACCGATATGTGGTCAAAGCCTTTTAGTTACCGAATGACACTTAAAACTGGCTGCTAAAATTAGCAAAAACTGTAGTTGAATCGTATTCATATGTAAAACTGTGGCCACGCGATTTTAAGTTTTAACAGCGAAAAACAAAAGGTAGCGTCGGGACGCGGCGAAAAACTCGTTTTTTCGATCGGCCGTCTGAAAAACAGATGACAAAAGATTTTCGAAATCAGAGCGATCCAACATTTTACGGAGGTCGAACTTACACCATACCTTTTACTCTTTGTCTTCAAAGAGATTTTTGTTCTTCGTCGGCTTGTGCCTTTACTGTGCAGCCCTTGGTACAGTCCGTATCTTCTACTTAAAGTGGTGCTTTTCTAGAAGGATGCTCTCAGGCTCACACTGGTGTTGTGTCGGAAAAAGTAACATCGTCGTAGGAAGCGAGTTTTTCAAGGAAAAAAAACCCAAATCTTCGTCTTTTATTTTTACGTGTATTCCATTTTGATGTGTACGCTATATATATAAATTTCATGACATATTTTCACACGCTTCACATTTCTGTCACCGGCTCCATGTATAAAGCACTTTTTGAGTTTTAGTCAGGACACCGATTGTCGTCGACAGTAAGAATTTCATAGCTGTAGCAAAGCACTAATTTAGAAATTATCATTAAGTCATTGTGGAATAATTTTGAAAGTAAAAACAAATACTTGAAATCTGCTTTCCAATCGGAGGTGCTTTTTACGTCAGGCATGCATTTTTCGGCACAACACCTGGCTGCTAAGGACCCCGTGCTAACGCGTTCTTCTTTTGATGATTTAACGGAAGACTACACTCAGCTAGTGTGTAGTGCTGCCATCTGTCGGCAATTTGTAGAATTACTATAAAATAATTATAAAAAAAGATGTGAAACACAACATTTTTCAAACTGCTCAACTTTTTGACATGGTAAAACACAACTTCAAATATATCAATATTTATTTACATTTTCGACCATGTAGAGGGGAACATATAGAATCGCAGTCTTGTGGACAAATCAATTATCAATTATCATTAGTAAAATTAAATTATTCAATCCATCGTAACTTTATTTTCTCTTTGTAGCAAAGTCATATTCAGAGAGACTTGCCTAAAGCATAAATCTAAAGCAGAATCTGTGGAGAAAAAAGCTGCTTCAGCACATCGATAGATGTTCTCTCAAAGATTATTTAGTGCAATTTCAAATAAAAAAGAAAAAAATTGTATAGGTCTTCTGGACGGGTTTCTTTTTGATTTTTTACCTGGATTACTGAGATGCATCAGGAAATTTCAAATAAACATTCAAAATGCCTTTTTTATAAATGAAAAGCAATGAAACGTAAATAAAAAAAACTAAAGTTTGAGAAGTATGAGAAGAAGATAATCACACTGTTAGTGGCAAAGTCTGAGCAGCAGATGGCACATTTGTCACAGATATCTGCTGTCTTCAAAACCATATTGCCTTATTCAAAGCTTTGCTCTGTTTTCACATTGTCTCCTTTAGTTTGATGCAAAAAATATCAGCTGAAATGTGCCTGATAGTGGCAAAAGCTGGAATTAATGAACCTAGATTGGTAAAAAAAAAAATACATCATAAAGGCTTCAAAGAACTACAGCACAGGCACCTCAATGTTTTTGAAAGTTAAATCAAAGCTTAATTCAAAAACCACATTTAAGTGTTCATGAAATAACCAAAAACGTACTTTAATACTGTGTTGTTGTTTTTCTGTAGAAATTGCAAACTTGTTCTTCCATCCATCCATCCATTTTCTTCCGCCTTTCCGGGGTCAGGTCGCGGGGGCAGCAGCTTCAGAAGGGAGGCCC